AAAAAGGAACTTCAAAAGACAATAAAACAAGCAGGGCAGTTTTGGAAAAAATGTGTAAAAAATGGAGATTCACTGTTTCATAAACAAGCCTCTTTTTGTGTTCTGCTGTGTGTATGGAAATGCTTTTTTGAGTATTTAAATTCAGAGTAAAAAATAAAATAAAAAATAAATTAGAGAGAAGCAAGTTTTGTCTCAAAATAAGGAGGAACCTTCTAATGAGTTGAGGTAATAATAAAGCTGAAATTGATGTAACACTCTAAGGTTTGCAAAGCACTTTACAAATATCACCTAATTTTATTTTCAAAATAACCCTGGGAGAAAGGTGCAACTATTATCCCCATTTTACAAATGAGGTAATTGAGGCAGACAGAAGCTAAGTGACTTGCCCAGGGTCACATAGCTAGTAAGTGTCCAAGGCAGATATTGAACTCAGGTCTTCCTGAATCCAGGTCCAGTGCTCTAGGTGTAGTAAGACCTAGCTCCCTCAAATAAAAAAAAAAAAAAAGAAGAAGAAATGGGAGGCCTTTGGAGGTAATAGGTGGATGGAAATGTTTGAACAGTGATTTGATGACCATTTTTTGAGCATGTTATTGTGGTGAATGACAATTCAGACAAGTGTAACATGTCTTCTAAATCTGAGATTCTGTGATTCCATTTTTGTCTTCAGAATATAGGCTACTTTACATACTTTCTCAAACACACATGTTCTCACCATAACTTCTCTTCCAGAAATTGAGACTACTTTTCTGGACCTTTCACAAGAAATCTGCCTGGGTCCTACAGGCTAGGCAGACATACTGCCACAGATAATTCACTCACTGTTGTATAGCTAATACCTATCATCTATGTCATAGCAAATCCACAGCAGCTTCTGGATTCTAAGTGAATTTCCTGGTTACAGGGGTCAATTTCTATGGAATAGGATTGGTTTAGAATTAGAACAAAAGGGAAAAAGTCACTTTGTAAATATATTGACCAAATTCATACCGATCAATGCAGGTCCTTCCTAAGATCAACATTGGTATAAAATTAGTGGCAGTCCAAATTCTAACTCTGATTCTAACTAATCTAGTTTGGATCTCAAAGAATTTCTGAGACAATTTTAAGAACTAGTTAAAAACTATAATTTTTCTGTACTTAAAAAAGACATGGATAAAAGTAACAGATTTATGATGTTTTGTCCCCCCAAGTATAAGAAGTGATGAATTTCCACTAAAGACCCCTTTGATTTTTCTTTGTGGTATGGATGTGGATTATCAAAGGACCTAGCAAACTAGAAAAACTTCAGGTACACACCTAGCAATAGTCTGTCTTCAAGGATGATGATAAAGAAGATGAAGAACTAACAAACGTAATGCGCTTTAAGGTTTGCAAAGAACTTTACAAATATTAATTCATTTGATCCTTGTAACAACACTGCCATGAAGGTGCTATTATTATCATCATTTTACAGATCAGAAAACTAAGAGAGTTAAGCAACTTGCCACACTCACACAGCTAGTAACTATTTGAGGCTATTAAGTTTGAAAGAGGTCATCCCAGAAGGTTGGCCACAAGTTGATTAAATTATTTTGGTTACAGGAACGTGTAGCATTGCCATCTGTATCAGTGGAGATAGAACTCAGACCAATGAAATCAAGGACGACTGAAGTAGTGAATAAGTGATGAGACTAAAAGAAAACAGTTTCATTATCTAGGAATGGACATAGGCAATCTCAGGACTGCAGCAGGCTAAACCTCTCACTCCTCTCCTTGCTAGCCCCAACTGTCTACTTGTTAACTTTTCAACTTAGCTGACCTGGAGGACCTTACTTAAGTCAGAATTCACATGCATGGTTTTACAGTCTAGTTCGTGTTACCTTAATATTTTTCACAGCTTATTTTAAGATCATAGTGGTCCTGACATATAACACACCTGGGACCATCAACAACGCTGTGTCCTCCAGACACGGATGGAAAACTTACCGTTGTAACAAGCCCAGTGCAATGGAGTGTAACCTTGGTTATCTTTGAAACAGCAGTCTTCCTCTGAAAGTGCCATCTGCAATAACTCACTCAGCCACGTGGCATGGCCACGAGCTGCTGCGAAGTGCAGGGGGGTCCTTCCTCGGAAATCTCTACACAGAATGGAGACTTCCTGTTCCAATAGCATTTGGACACATTCCTCATGCCCGGTCATGATCTAATGCATAAAGATTAAAGACAAGCAAAGAGGTTTTAAAAATGATAGAAAGCTCAGAGAGCAGAGGGCCTAAGATGGCGGTGAGAACATGAGGCAGAAAATCCAAGAGTCCCTTAGAATTAGTGCCCTTGAGGAAAAGCAACAGGGTTCATAGGATGAGCACATGTAGATCTACTTATCTAGGCCTCAAGCAAAGCATTCCATGCAATAACTCAGAGACGAGGAATGGGCAAAACTGAAGCATAATTTGTAATTGGAAAGTCATAACAGAAGAATTCAGGAAAACCATTGGCTCAACCATTCAGTTGGGGGTATCCTTTGACAGAAAGCACTTAGCCTTCTTCAGGGTGCTCAGGGCAGGATTTGGAGTTGGAAGACCTGTGTTTGAAACCCAACTCGACCACTTACTACCTGTGTGACCTTGGACAAATCACCTCACCTCTCTGGGTCTTAGTTGCCTCATTTGTAAAATGAAGGGATATCTATATCTATATCTATATCTATATACACATACACACACACACATATATATGTATGTGTATATGTATATGTATGTATGTATAATAACATTATAATCAAAAGCAGAATAACACCCATCTGCTTTACTTCCCCCTTGAAGAAAGACAAAACTTTATATCTCTCTCAGCAGCTGGTATAGTCATAATAGTATTCACTTAATAAATGCTTGTTGAATTAATCTAAATATAACTGTCATTACTTTCATCTCTGGAAGGATAAATTTCCTTTTGGCTATTAGGATAATATGTCATTTAAAAATTTCTACATTAAACATTCATTTAAAAAATAGTCAAAATGTTTGTGTAAAGCTCAGGAAGAATTCAGTCACCCCTCTGTGTAAAGCTGTGCATCCCATGAGGTCAACAGCATCTACATTTGCTTCTTTTTCAAGTAACAAAGAAACAGCATCAATATGTCCATAGGCAACAGCCAGCATCAGTGGGGTTCTAGAAGAGAGGAACAAAATAAGCTATTAATAACCAGATCAAAACCATTAATCATTTCCCAGGGGGAAGATACTGCTTTTGCCCCCCTTAATATTTTCTACATGTCCACAATGTGCCAAATGCTATAAAGACACAGTCTGCTTGTCTCTGAGCAGGAAAGACATATACTTTAAAGCAAGTGCGTAAGAGGAGGAGGTGGAAAAGCCAGTAAGGGGATGTTGTATTAATCATGCTGTCTCCATCATCTTCAGAATCAGTTCATATTTATTAAGGGCTCATTAACTGCATGGCATGGTAACACTGATAGATACTGTACCATGGCCAACTATCATTCCTGAAAATGTGAGTGTCAGGGTTCATGGAAAGTCAAATAGTTATAAAGAAATGAATATACTTGACAGGACAAAGAAGGAGGGTTTACATTTCTTTTCTAAGACAACTTTAAAATGAAAACTGTCTCTTTGGAATTGTTTTGGAAGAAGCCCTGGTTGATACTAGGAAGCAGGGTAGCCTAGGAGAGAGCAGTTGATTGGGAGGGAGACCAACCGTCTGAAGCCAGAATTGTATATTTATTCCACCACTAACTAATCACAAGTCACTCACTCTTGGTGGTGCAGTTTTCCCATCTGTAAAACAGGCATAAAAATATCTTCCTTCCACACAAGAATATTGTGATGAGGGAGAAAAATAGCTAGAGTAGTAGATGGAAGGCATTTTGAAAAAATAAAAGCATCATGCAAATGCTAAGGATAACAGTCATGTTACACTCTTGTTTAATGGTTCTCAGAATGGAATGATAGAAGCTTGAGGGGATGAAAAGAAAGCAAAACATGGGGAAGGCAGCAGCACAGAGGCAGCTTCTACCCACGTCATTCTTCCAAGTATGTGTATTCTTCACCCCAAACCTGGGGTACACCAATCCTCATCCTAGGACTCTTTTTAGCAACAAACAATAATGGCAGTTATCACTGACATGTCACAAACTATGGAGTAGAGAGTGTGTCACTTACTGTCCTTTGGCATCTGTCACATCGACAATTTCTGGATTGTCTGCAATTTCTAGTAACAGTCGTAAACACAGTGTGTGACCATTAATGACTGAAAAAAATTAAAATGAACATTCTTTCAGAAGACCAACATTACTACTAGTAACAATTACAACCACTTGCTTTGTACAGAGTTTTGTATATTTAATCTAGCTGATCCTCACAACAATCCTGGGAGGTAAGAACTATTATTACCCTTGCTTTGCAGATGAGAAAACTGACTTACCCAAAGTCATACAGCTACTAAGTATCTGAGGCAGAATTTGAATTTGGGTCTTCCTGACTCTAAATCCAGCACTCTATTATTGCACAATGATGCCCCTCCACAACATATACACAACATCCTTTCTCTGTCATGAGATTTATTTGAACACTTCTAAAAGCAGACTCCGTCTCAAGAGTTTCTGACTTGTGTGTCTTCTTAATTCATCCTACCAAGACTGTTTCTTAGCACATACTATATTGACCCATTTTTCTTTATGCCCCAGGCTGACTGGATTCTTAGAAGTGTACCATTTTTGTTGGGTTGCTGGATTTGAATAAGTTCTTTCTTTGGTCTCTATCACATATATTCCCTAACTCTCCTCTGATGTTCTCTTCTGGGAAAGGGCATATCTTTTCCCAATTCCCCCACTCCTCTCATTATTCTCCTTCTTAGGTGCCTGGACTTAATACAATTATCCTGTTTTCACTGTCCCCTGGTGCCTGATCAAAAAAGGAGACCCCAACTAGACTGTACTTTCATACCCCATGTTCTGCCAGGCATTAAATTAATATTTGATCTGATGATGGTCAAATCAGATAGGCACACACCTTATCCTTCTTGCAGTGCAGCCTTGGACACTGATGATTATCTGCTTGTCCTTGATATTCTGTTCTCTCTAGATTTTCAGGAAACTACACTCCTCTGGTTTTCCTCCTACCTCTCTCACCACTCCTCAGTCTCCTTTTCTGGAGTGTCATCCAGGTCACACCTGCTAGCAGTGGATATCTTACAAGGCTTTATCCTGGGCCCTTTTTCCTTCTCCCTTTGTACTACTTCACTTGGTGATCTCATCAACTCCCATGGATCCAATTATAATCTCTATGCTGATGATTCTCAAATCTTTCTATCCAGCCCTAACCTCTTTCTTGCCCTCCAGACTTATATCCCCACCCATCTAGTAGACATCTCAAACTGGAGGTCCTATAGACACCTTAAACTCAACATGTCCAAAGCTGAACTCATCGTCTTTTCCCTCAAACCATACTCTCCTTCCTAACATCTTTATTACTGTTAAAGGCACCACCATCTTTCTAGTTCCCCAGGCTCCCAACCCTGGTCATGCTGAACTCCCTACTCTCTATCACCCTTCCATATCCAATCTGTTGCCAAGGTCTTTCAATTTTACATGGATAACATCTGTCACATATATTTCCTCTCCTCTAATACTGCCACCACCCCAGTATAAGCCACCATCATCTCACACATGGACTTCTGAAATAGCCTACTGGTGGGTCTGCCAGTCACAAATACCTACCCACTCTAGTTCATCCTCCACCCAGCTGTGAAGGTGATCTTCATTAAACTCCAATGGCTCCCTATTACTTCCAGGATGAAATATAAAATCCTCTGGTGTTCAAAACCCTTCATAACCTGCTCTACCGCCCCCACCATCATCCTTTCTAGTCTACCTACACCTATACCCTTCTTATGAGATACAACACCACTGGCCTTCTTCTTGTTTCTCAATCAAAACATTCTATCTTGGGGCAGCTAGGTGTTGCAGTGGATAGAACACCAGCCCTGAAGTTGGGAGGACCTGAGTTCAAATCTGGCCTCAGCCCGAACAGTTGACACTAGCTGTGTGACCCTGGGCAAGTCGCTTAACCCCAATTGCCTAAAAAACAAAAAACAAATATATATATATATATTCTCTCTCTCTCTATATATATAAAAACATGCCATCTCCCAGATCTAGGCATTTTCACTGGCTGTCCCTCAAGACTCAAATACTCTACCTCTTCATCTCAGCCTCTTGGTTTCTCTGGTTTCCTTCAAGTTCCAGGTAAAATCCCATCTTCTTAAGCAATTTTTGCTATCCCTCTTAATCCTAGTGCCTTTCCTCTGTGATTATCTCCAAATTTTCCTTCATAGATTTTGCTGGTACATACTTGTTTGCATGTTACCACCCCCTTTAGACTGTGAGTTCCTCGAGAGCAGGACTGTCCCTTTCTTTGCATCGCCAGTGCTTAGCACAGTCCTTGGCAGATAGTAGGAGTTTAATAAATGTTTAGTGAGTGAGTTCAAATCCTACCTCAGACAGACTTATTAACTGTGTGTCCCTGGGTAAGTCACTTAAGCTCCCTCAGCCTCAGTTTCCTTATCTGTAAAATGGGGATAGTAATAGCACCCATCTTACAGAATTGTGAGTATCAAATGAGAGGTAAAGCATTTCATGAACTTTAAAATGCTGTATAAAAGATAACTATTATTGTTGCTGTTGTTGTTGCTGTTATAGACATTGTTGCCATAGTTCCCTCAAGCTCTTAGTGTCTTTGTGCTTTATAGTGAATGGAAGCTCTCGGGCATGATTTCTTTCCTAGAGTGGACCCAGGTCATGTTCCAACAGGTGTAGCTCTGCTGGTTGCTTATGCCTCCTTCCTCCGAGCCCCAGACCACGTGAGTGATTCTGACCATTTTTCCATCATTTCTCAAGCGACCATGCCCTGGATATTCTTGCTTTCTGCTGTTGTCTTGGTGGCATAGAGACAACAAAGTAAGAAATGGTACCCAGGGCTGTACCTACCAGGCAGGAACAGGTTACTGACACATGTGCGCTTATGTGTGTGTGTGTGTGTGTGTCTGCCGATAAGACAGATGGATTACTTTTGGTAAGGTTCCGATATAAGATAAGGGAAGCAGAGACCATCAGATAAGCCATTAAGAGAGTAATATATCTTTTCCTATTTTCCTAAAATATATTTGCTAAGGACTATGTAACACAAGAATAGGGACAAGGACTGGCCTCAGGATAGCATTGGCATCAGGAACTCACAAAGTGAGAAAATTCCCTCTACCAGGGTAGGCTGACACCTTCTCTGCAACTTGCAGCATTTCCTAGGGACTGAGAAGTTGAGTGCTTTGCTTAGGCTTGCGGTCAGTATTGTCAGAAGCGGGCCTTCAGCCCAAGTCTTCCTGGCTTTAAGGCTGATTCTATCCCTCACAAAACTAAACTGAAAGTCTTATGAAAGACCTATTGCCTTCTCCTATGGCTGAAAGGAGGGAGAAAAAAATCCTCTAAGAGCCTAAATACCTCCAGTATCTTCTGTCTTCTTCTTACATAGCATTAAGAAAAACCCCAAACTATGTCTGCTTTTATATAGGTAGGCAAAGATGTAGGTAGACAGAGAAGGAAAGGGCTATAGTAGGGTTGGGGAACCTGTGGCTCAAGGCTGCATGTGGCCCTCTAGATCCTCAAGTGTGACCCTTTGACTAAATCCAAACTTCATGAAACATCCTTTTATTTCTTTTTTTTATTAGGATTCATTCTGTGAAGTTTGGATTCAGTCAAAGGGCCATACTTGAGGACCTAGAGAGCCACGTGCGGCCTCGAACCCGCAGGTTCCCCATCCCTAGGCTATACCAATGGCCATTTGTAAGTGGATTTTACAGCCCATTTTATCACATGCCAGCTCTGCACTGATACTCATTTCACCCTATCGTATTCTTTGGTGACAATATACAGTATCATCAACTCATTCGTTGGCACTGCTCAAATTAACTTACCAAGAGCAAAACACACATTTTTGAAAAGAGAATTTAAAATCCCATCACTCTGAAATTTACATTGAGCTCATTTGCAAAGGCTCTGGGGAAGCTTTTCACTGCCCCAGGTGTAGCTAAAATATAGCCCTCCTTAGGCCACTTCCCTGTTTCCCCCTCCCCCCAAGCAAGGTGCCACAAGGCTGTCTGCCTGGTGACGGATTGTTTATTTATTAATTTTTAGCTAAAGCAACTTAAGAAAACTATCTGCTAAGGCTCAGAGGGATGACAACTTGCATTAGTGAAAGTGGGGTATAACACATGATGATGAAATCATAGACCTTTTGAACTCTCAATGTAGTATTAAACCAGGCACCTCTGATGAAAGATTCAATAATATCTCAAAGACTCACGGGGCTTAATGTGTGCCAGAGAGAAAACTGTCAGTACAGGCTGACAGCTAAAGTAGCTCAGGAGATGGCTTCACAGAAACAGAGGAATAGCATATTTTGACGGGCTCCCTACTCCTGCATTAATTTGATATTCTTTCTCCACTCATGATCATAATAGGTCTAAGAATGTTGTGTAAAAAGAGGGAATTTTTTTTTTTAAACCTATAATTCTGTCACTCGTATCCAATGTAGCAGAGAACAAAATAGACTCCTACTGTAGAGTATGTATTCTCTGTACAAAGCTGAAAGGGGCTGTTTGAGCCCTCCAGGAAGTACCAATAGGTCCACTTACTGCTGTGGGGCAGCCAGACTAGAACTGTCTTGTCCTTCCTACAGACTCCCCTTTTCCACTTGTCTTTAAGGAAAGAGAATCCTAATTTTTCTTCAGTTGTGCTATATCAAATATGACGTTATTTCAGCCCATTTGAGCAGGCCATTATCTCTCTGTCTTTACCGTTCTGCACTGTTCAAAGAGTGACATCTAGTCACTTACCTGTACCAGAGAATCCTGGGCTCTGAGAACACCTATCAAAGCCTCCTACTTCCCATCCTGGGGCTCTAGAGTAGGCAACACAAAATTGCCATGCTAAGGGAATTTCAAGAGGGACTGAGAGAACAGTTTGAAGCAGACCCCAGGCTGCAATTCTGATTCAATGGAGACATTTGGTAGGTAACAGAATGAAATGACAGCCTGGTCCTGCTCATCATGTAGGACCTAAGAAAGCCCCAGTGTATTGAATCCCCATGGCCACTAGAGGTCTCTGCTGGATCACAGCCTAAACAAGTGTGGAAACATTGTTCTGGATGTTTACCTGTTCAAAACGGTTGTTTTCTATGTTTGAAATAGCCCCTTTGTATGGACTTTCTTGGTGACTAAATATAATTGCCTGATTTAGGAATAAGCAACAAGAAATAGAAGAAGACAAACAAACCTTAACTTTAAAATACTAAAGGCTTAGGAAATTCTTGGGGAAGAAAGGAAGTAACAGTAGTAATAACGATTGACATTTATGTTGTGAGTTAAAATTTGCAAAGTACTTTATATACATCATCTTGCTTGATGCCCACGACAACCCTGTGGTTGTAATCCTCACTTTACATATGAAGAAACTAAGGCTCAGTGGGGTTAAACAATTTACCCAGAGCCACACAGCTAATGTCAGAGGCAAGAGCTGAACATCTTTCTGCTTTGAAACCCAGTACCCTAATGGCCTTAGGGATCTAAGAGTCATTTGCTAACCTTCCTTCCCTACTATGAGAATTTATCAAGTAACACAGGAGATGAAAGAGGGGCCAGTGTTTTTCCATCTCAGCATTTCAAATAGCCTTCATATGCCATCTGGAAAGCTCTGTAATCAAATATTACAAGAATTCCTTAAGGCCTAACTAGCTAGGCAAAAGCAGGAAAACAGTATTTTTAAGGTTGCAAGACTCATAAAAGCCTTTGAACAACTTCCTTCATTTGAATGTTGACCTCTGTACCCACAATATACTTTTCTGACACCACAAATAAATATGGTGTTAGGGAAAGAATGCATTGAAAGGGAATGGGGAGGGACAGCTAGGTGGAGCAGTGGATAGAGCACAGGCCCTGGAGTTAGGAGGACCTGACTTCAAATGTGGCCTCATACACTTGCCACTTACTGTGTGACCCTGAGCAAGTCACTTAACTCCAATTGCCTCACAAAAGCAGAAAAAAAGAAAGAAATAAAGGGAATGGAGAGGCTGGGGTTGTTGCTCCAGCTCTGCCACACATTGGCATCAGAGTAAAGTAGAAAATGTGCTGGATTTGGGCCAGAGGCTGTGAGTTCAAATCCTGACTCTACCACTTGCCATCTGTGTGACTAAGCAAGTGACTTAGCATCCTTGGGTCTCAGTTTCCTTATTTGTAAAATAACAAGGATGAGACAATATCAATCTCTAGATGAGTTCTAAGTTCCCTTTTGGCTCTAGATCTTTGATGTGACATTATGGTTCTTAATTAATTTTTTGAGTCAAGCATACCCACTGCTAAGATCAAAGGCAGATATGTCAGACTCTATCAGCCCAAGGAACCTGCATTTATGGAGTACTTAAGTTAAAGGATCTTTCATTTCATTTTCTTTTATCCTGCTCCATGTTTCTAAAATTCTAACTAGCAACCACATTAAAAAAAAAATCTCCAAAAAATAACATTACAGGATCGGTACTTTAGAGCTGGATGAGGAAAACCGAGACCCAGAAAAGGTGAAAAGTTATTAACTATTTAGCACAGTAATTATGTAGTTTTGCAAGTTATTTTGCATTGAGTGGTTAAAAAAATCAGAATAAAAGTTACTTTGGTTAAATATCTAAGGTGATACACTGATTGGTCTAATGACTGGAGTGTCTTACAAAATTAGTTTTTAATATATTTCATATTTTAATGTTTAAAAATACAGAACTTGTGAAGGTTTTTTTTTTGAGGGAGGCAAGGATATTTATTATTAATCCTGGGGAAACAGAGAATAAAAAGTTTCCCTTCTAATAATGAATAATTATAACGACCAAATTTGGCATGGAGAAGAGTTGAAAAATATTCCTCCCTCCCTTCACTGAGGTGACAAGATGGATTACAGGTGGGAAATATTACAAATACTGGCAGACATAGTAAATGTGTCAGTAAGTTTTGTTGAAGTGGGTTTGTTTTTCACTTAAAAAAAAACACCTGCGTTATATAGGATAGCTTACTGAATAGGGAAAGGAGGGATATTTTTACACTTGAATGTGGTATAATAAAAAAGGTGACAATAAAAATAAGAAGTCTTTTAAAGTCTTTCTGTAGAACTCTAGGTTTCCTTTAGACTTTAGAGTTTTAAGATACCTTAGAAATCATCCTAACTTAACAAAGGAATGTTTTGTATAAGAACTGACTGTGAGGACTCCAATGAGCTTCACTTCATTGTCTTACATCTGGCACACACTAGATATTTAATAAATGATTATTGAATTATTGAATTGAATTGCTCAGAATTGGATCCAGAGTCCTTATTACCTTCCCAGCCTTCTCAGGGATGCAACTATTAGCAAAGCAGATCAGTTACTCTGTTTTTAGTAGAATTAGGTTTCCAGAAGATACCCAGGTAGGGGGAATCCCTTGTCTCTGCCATTTTTGCTTCTGGGAATAGTATTAGGAATATATGATCTATTTCCTTCACCTGTCTAGGGTGGGCTGCAATATACTTCTCTAGACAATATCATTTCAGTTTCTTTCCCTTTTATCTTCACTCAAACGCTTTGGAGTATGCCTCCCTTTGTGGCACAGCAATTTCTAAACAGATGATCCTCTTCATAGACAATACTATATCATGGCCCCCTCTATCACTCTGTTTCTTTTGAATGTAACCTACTTTCCATCAGTGTAGCTCAGTTGTTAATCCCATTTTATATCCTCTTGCACCCTGACAAACTCAGCTAGGCAGCTACGTGGCGCAGCAGATAAAGGTGCTGGGCCTAGAGTCACGAAGACCTGAGTTCAAACCCAACCGCAGATACTTGCTAGCTGTGTGACCTTGGGCAAGTCACTTATCCTGTTCACCTCAGTTTCCTTAACTGCAAAATGGGGATAATAATCGCACCTACCTATCAGGATTGTTGTGAGGATCAAATGAGAAAATATTTGTAAAGCACTGTCACATTTGCTCAGTTGTTCCATTACGTCCAACTCTTTTGTGACTGTATGGGGTTTTCTTGGCAAAAATACTGGAGTGGTTTGCCATTTACTTCTTCAGTGGTTTAAGGCAAACAGAGGAAGTGATATGCTCAGGGTCACACAGCTAGTCAGTCTCTGAGGCTTGAATTGAACTTAGGTCTTTCTGACTCCAGTCCTAGTGCTCTATCCACTGAGCCCCGAGCTGCCTTGACATTATTATTTTCTTGATGATACCTCCCTTGTATTAATCTCTCAGATCAATTTCATTATCCACTAAGCATTAGATATACAGACATTCTGGGGCCATACATATTGCCCCTGAGGTATTGTAGTGGATAAAGTACTATACATGGAGTAAAGTACACCTGAATTCAAATCCAGTCTCAGACAACCTCAGTCAGCCTCAGTTTTTCCATCATAAAAATGGGATAGCTTAGCACCTACTTTCCAGAGTTATTGTGAGGATAAAATGAAATAATATTTGTAAAGTCCTTTGCAAACTTAAAGTAGTCCATGAATTCTAGTGAGCATTATTATTATTCTGTACTATGTATTGCTAGGCACCTCCCTTACTGTTCTTCTTTTTTATGACTTCTACCTGAAAGTGAACAAAAAAAATGTCCAGAAAGAGAAAAGATCTGAACAGAGGAAGAAAACTGATTCCTTTGGGGTTAAGAGGAGGTGACAATATGCTTATGCCAACCACAAGACATGCCATATAACCAGGGTAACCAATCAATCCACTAATTCAACAACTTCACTCATCCTGTCCCCTCCCTTCCTCTCCCAAGAAAAGGTAGAACCTACCAGAGGCATGAAGTGGGGTTCTTTTGGTTACATTGTCTTTCACAAAGATGGATGCTCCTTGATTGATAAGCGCTTCCACACATTCTGCATGTCCTTTAAAGGCAGCTAGGTCCAGAGCTGTTCGGCCTTTTTCATCCCTGATATCCAGGTCTACAAGGGATTGCAGAAGTACTTCCAAGGCTTGATGATGGCCATTGTAGGCCTAGCAAGATGGAACCAAAGACAGTTAAGAAACAAACAAACCTCATTAAAGTACAACACAATGTAAGAACATGGTAGGGCAGTAGATAGAGCACCGGGCCTGGAGTCAGGAAAACTCATCTTTCTGAGTTCAAATCTGGCCTTAGACACTTACTAGAACCTGGACAAGTCCCTGTTTGCCTTAGTTTCCTGATTTGTAAAATGAGGTGGAGAAGGAAATGACAAACCACTCCAGTATCTCTGCTAAGAAAACCCTAAATGGGGTTATAAAGAGTCAGACACAACTGAAATGACCAAACAAGAAACTGTAAGAATCTACCAGAGTATCATAACTACTCATGTTTGTTTAGAATGTTAACATTTCTGAAAACTGCTTTTCCCATGGTCATTCTGTGACAAAGATAGTACAAGTATTGTTTTCTTCATAAGGAAATGATGACTTAGAAAGGTTAAGCCACCTCACATGCTGCATAAAAATTTAGGTCCTCTGACTCCCAAACTGTGGTCCTTACAACATGAGATGCTGCTGTCCCAAAAGAACCTCAGAAAGAGCTGTTAGTATTCCACCGCAGGAACCATTTGGATACAAGAAAAACAGCATATTAAAGTTATGCTGAGAACTGCAGTTCTCCTATTTCAATAAATCATTTGCCCAAAGTATGATATTAGCTAAATAAATGTAAGCCAGTCTAAATGTCTATAGGATTAACATTGGTAGGATGTTTGTTTATGTCTTTAGGTTTTATTTTTAAATCAGAATGTGAAGGAAAGGGAGGAGAGAAGAAAAGCATCTGATCCTTCAATTTACCTTACAAATCATGTAAACTCCACTGTCCTTTTAAAAAAAATTTTTTTTCTTTCCCCCATGTACATACAAGGTCCTTAATGTTTGTTGAAATAGAACAGAATTTGGACTGTATTACAATCTTCTGACACTCTAGGAGTGCCATAGCATTGTAAATTATTATTTTCACAGAAAGAACATTGAATATTTAAATAAAAAGGCTATATATTTGCAAATGCTATGAATATACTTTGCAAATATTACTGAGTTCAAATTCCTTGTCTATTTACCTGTAAGTAAGTCTACCTGTAAGACCCCGAGCAGGTCAACTAATCCCTTGGGCCTCTGTTTCCTCAGCTATAAAATGAGGAGGTTGGCCTAAATGACTTCTAAGTTTCCTTTTAGCTGTAATCTGTGATCCTGTGAATAATTCACATTCTATACTGGTCTCAGAGTTTACAAATAGTCTTCATCACAAAAACTCTGAAAGGGAGTCATGGTAGAGATTATGATTCCCTTCTTAAAGATTAGGAAATTGGTGCTAGATTAGTAGCCCAAGGTCATATAACTAAAGTTTTGACCAGGACTTAAGACACTCTGTTTCTCATACTTATGAATCAGGTGCTCGAGGCCACTTGCATAAAACTCTCCTCAATGGTGGTGATTAATTATTTGATGTCTGCTTGAGTTTGGGAGAAGAGAGAGCTTTTCTTCTGGCTTCCAGCGTCGAGAGACAAAATGCAGACAAAAGATACATGGTTTCAAATTTTCTTCAGAGAGAGGCCCCTACAGGGACATAAAGACTTTGGGAAGATGCCCAAGTGATATAGGTGCTGATGGCTCCCCTACACGTCAGCTTCTTCCGAGACTTTCCCTTTAAGGATCTCCCTGAAAAGAATATGGAACCATGTGTCTTCTTTCTCGAAGCTAGAAGTCAGAAGACAAAGATTTACCCTTTGCTAAGGCATAGAGCATGGAGCAATCAATTTCCTCCAATGAGAAAAATCTAATGAAAATGGACTTGAGCCCTGACCTATCTCATTGAAAGAGGAGGCCCATGAATAGAGAGGAAAAAGGGGAAAAAAGACCCAAATAAAGAGTGAAGAAAACAGGGAGAAAGAAAGGGGAAGGAAGGAGAGAAGAGAACCTGTTCATAGTAACAATGGCTTTTATATAGCACTTTAAGGTTTACAATGTACGGTCTTGTTATTATCTTATTTGACCTTCATTACAATCTCATGACTTAGATGTTAATATTATAGCCATTTTGCAAATGAAGAAACTGAGGCTGAGAGGTTGAGTGACCTGACAGAGGTCTCACATCACGTATATGCTGAGACAGGACTTAAGCCTACATCTTCCTGACTCCAGGCCCATTGTTCTATGTACTACACAAACTGCCTCCATGATGGCAGCTAGAACTTCTCTCCAGGCTCTCCCACCAGGCACAGAAGCCCATTATGAACTGTAGCACAGGTCTGGCCAGCCGAGATTCATGCTTTCTGCACTGCCCACAACTGCCCTTACTACCTCTGGGACAGGATCTTATTTGCTAAAAGGGCAAAAGGGCCCTGCCTGATTAAATAAATGATAGTGTCAAAAGGAGCCCATAGGAATTAGGAGCTCTGTACTAATATTATTTACACTAAGCATTACCCTATTTAAAAAAAAAGCTCTGCCTCCTAAAACAGGACATGAATAAGCTCTGCTCAGTCAGACGAGGCCTAGCCCTCCCAAAGCAGCGCAATTTAGTAAACTGACAGCTTTTGAATATTGTTAGTGACATCTATTAATTATATATCTTTATAATAACAAAACACCTAGGAAGACAGCCATCTAAGTTGAATATTTAACGGTTAGATAGTGATTTAAAATGCCTTCATCACAATTCCTTCAGCAGATACACATATTAGGACCACTCCCTCTCCTCCTCCTCTCACTGTGAACAACATCCCCTGAGGGAACACATTTCCAAAACAGAACTCATTATATCTTACCTTCCCTAAATCCCACTCACTTCCTAAATCCCTTCCTTCTGTAGAGGGCATCATTATTCTTTTAGTAACCCAGGTTTTCAACCTTGACTCTTCCCTTTCTGCACTGTCCACCTGGGCTGGTGCTCTATCCGCTGTCACCTAGCTGCTCCAACTGAAGGTTTTCATCTTGTTCTCCTTCACCATCTGTTGGGGGTGCCTTTGGAAGTACAAGAAGAAAAAGGCCCAGCAAGAACTGCTTAGAAGGGAGGATCTGTTGATTTAGGATTCTAAATGAAAATCTATATCCATCTTTTGGGAAGGTGTTTCTTTACTCTAAAAAAATTTTTCTTCTATGGTATTGTGAACCACACGCCTACAAATGGGGAGTCAGGTAGCTAGTATGAGGGAGCTGGAATCTAGATCGTGTCACTTCTAGGCAGAGCTGTAACTAGAGAGGGTCAACAGTGGCTTTGGCCAATGACAACAAATTTCAAGGACAGTGAAAGCATCTGGTGTCTCTAAGTAACATTAAAAAAAAACAAGAGAATTTATTATGCAGTCATCAAAAAGAATTAGCTAAAATTGGAACCAATCATATATTCCTCATTCTCCTCCTGGAGGCCACATCCCTTGTGAGCTCCTTCCCACACTAGCTGTGCCCTCAAACACTCCTCTTCCCACACTTGAATCTAGTCTTCATTCATGGAGCCTGCGTCTGGGCTTTAAAAGTTGATGAGGGACATTTTATGCCGTTTACCCTGGACATAATTTGTGCTGTTCCAGACCAAAAGAAAATTTTTTTTATAGCTATAGTGCTACTTCTAGTTGAATGGTCTTTCCCTTTAAAGACATTTAAAGGTCCTAAAATAAATTCCTGAAGGTCTAAGGTCATGACTTCAAATACACTATTTTAAGCCATCATGGCATAAAGGGAAGAGCATTGGATTTGGAGAGTCAAGGGACCTGGGCTCAAATCCAAGCTCTGACACTTGCTGTGTAACCATAGGCAAATCACTTAACCTCCCTGGGCCTCAGTTTCTTCATCTGTAAAATGACGGGTTGGACTAGATGGTTTCTAGGGTTCCTTCCAGCTCTAAATCTATGATCCTATGATCCACGGAGACATGATGCTTTCAAGAAGATAAACACTGAAATTGTCTAAAGATAAAAGAAAGGTTTTCCATCTAGGTGCCCTTGTTCAAAGAGTACAAAAGGACTACAGACATTTTGAAGTGAACTTCTGGAGAAGTCATTGGCATCTGAATGGATTATAGGAACAAAAATAAAAGACAGCATTTTAAGCAGTTTAAACTTACACAGACTAACATTGAAACCCAAATTTCACCTAGCTTATGTCTAAACTTGGCACTGTCCCCAACCTGAAATAACATTCACATATTTAAACATCTGAACATATTTCAAGATACATACTGGTTCTCACTATGCAAAGTTTTTTTGATTTTGTTCTTATCATTCTCTATAACAAAGATAATAAACATTTAGGTAAAAAAAATTTTTTCTGTTAATTTTACCAAGGTTAGTACTGGGATGATGCAAACAGACAATTAACCCAGAAAAGAAACAACATATTTTGTATATCACAGCTTTAAACTGTTCAATTTAAAGCCAATTAAGGAAAGACACAGGAGTAAAAAGGAGAAGCAGATTCAGGGGATGCAGGATACAAAGGAAGTTAGCATAATACATTATAGTTAGATTGGTTTTGTTTGCTTTCAGGGGTGTGATGGAAATCAGAAATTGTGTGGCTTATCCAAGGTCACAAAGTTAATTAAAAGTAGAATCAGGAGAAGTATCCAAGTCTCCTTACTTTCACTCCACTGATTTTTCCAGTACATCTCCCTATCTCAAGTTCATTAAGCATAAGCTATTAAATGATTAAAAAAAAACTGAGAAAAAATAATGAATGTTTTGAAGACTCTGGAATTCACTTAACTTCAAGGTAAAGAATATTAACTCTACTTTAAAGTTAAGAGAAAGCACATGCTAATATAGCTGTAATTTTTGCAGCTCAGGAAAATACTGGACACTAAGTGGTGTCAAGTATGTGCTCAGTTAAAGGAGTAAGTGGAGTGGTCACACATGAGGCTGAGATCTCAGGGCAACTGAGTGAAGGCTGGGGAAACCATGGAGACATGTCCTACTCCTCCACTGTGGTAGCTTCTATGTTAGCTACTTATTCTTGCTCACTAGGTTAGAATGTAGTTTCCATGCTGCTGTTGTTGTCCAGTTGTTTCAGTCCCGACTCTTTGTGAACCTGTCTGGGGTTCTCTTGGCAAAGATACTGGAGTAGTTTGCCATTTCCTTCTCTAGCCCATTTTACAGATGAGCAAATTGAAGCAAACAGAGTTAAGTGTCTTGCCCAAGGTCAGACAACTAGTGTCTGAGGCCAGATTTGAACTCATGAAGATGAGTCTTCCTGACTTCAGGTCCAGCACTCTATCTACTGTGCCACCTACCTGTCCTTTCTATGTTGCTACAGGACTTCAAGTGATTTTAATGTCTTGGGGGATAAAGCCCTAGTCACTTCACACTAGTTATGCATTGGCATTCCAAATAGCAAACCTTCCAAATTGAGTCCTATGATAACCATTAATGATTTATTTAGGAGAATGGTAACTCTATATGCCTCCCAAAGCCACCCCTACTAGAATAAAAGGAAAAGCTGCCCTAGAAACTCTATATCAAGAAGGAAGATGGCACTAATAGCTGGTGCCAAAAAAGAATTTCAGTATTTCTATGTCCAATGAACTCCTCAAATGCCCTTTCTCCTCCCCCCTGAAGCATTTGTTTATTCATTTGTTCATTCGTTCAACTATAATATAAGCTTTACAAGGTCAGGGACTCAGTCTTATTCACATTTTGTATCACCCACTAACAGCTAGCACAGTGTTCTGCCCACAGAAGATATATAATAAATGCTTGTCAAATAGATGACTACCCAATAATCATGCCCTCAATTCTAAGTGTTTATTTGCATTCAATTCAGATTACATATCTAAATATTTTAATATATACTACTAAGCTTTGTGAGGTTTAGGCATGTATCTTAGTCATTCTATACCTCCTCAATCTTCTTAAACTTAGCACAATACTCACTAAATAGCTGATGAATGAATGAATGAATGAGATATTATTCTAGGGGCTGTGCATATTAATATAAATACATAATCATGCCCCTTTTCCCTTTCCTAGTCTTTTGGGTTTTTTTTCCCTTTTTTCTTCCCTTCCCCCTCACCCTAGAGATAGCTATCATTAGACACAAATATGTGTGTATCTATATCTATATACATATATACATACATACATACACATATGTATAAATGAAAATTTTGTATGTGTATATATATATATCATATATGTCAAACCATTCTATACATATTTCTATTTATCACTTCATTTTCTAGATGGAGATAGCATCTTCCTTCATGTGTCCTTTTGTAGTTAATTGAGTATAATAGTCAAAATGAGCTAGTCATTCAAAGTTGTTATTAAATTGCCTATACCAATCTTTGGGTTTTACTAAGCACAGGGCCATCCAACCATTTCACTTGCTGGGGCCAGTTAACCTGAAAAGCACATTCTGAGTGACTAGTATACCTAGAGGATTAGACAGTTTTCCCCTTTCTGCCACCCATACCAAAGACATATGAGTTATCCCAGTGAGTGTTTTTATTTCCTTTTATCAGACAGAGGTCAGATAAGGGAGAATCTAGACAGAGAACTAAAGATTCCTTCTTTTACAGTTGGCATGTAACATCCAAATAGCCCCTGAACAAACTGGCTGTCCTCCTTAATTTTGCTTCTTTCCCTTCTTGATTTCCTTCAGTGTAAGCAAGAATGGAGAAATGATATAACATGGAATTAAAGCAGGTTAGGGGGTGAGGAATGGATAGAAAAACAAGAGAGAAGAATGATGAAACCTTTGATAGAAATCTAGACGTTTTGGAAAAGAGTTGGGTCTATGAAGAAAGAGAATAAGTTCTGTATTGGACACAATAAGCTCCAGATATCACTAAGACATCTTGTTTGAAATGTCCAACAGGCAATTAATAATGAGGAATTAAATCTCAGGACAGAGAATGCTTGGCATCAGTATGGTGAGACCCTGGGCAAAAAAGGTCAAAAGGCTGCCTAAGGAGAGGTAAATGGGCCCAGGTCAGAAACATAGAAGGCCAAAACTTCCGTGCTGGTAAACAGTGGGACTGTGTCCAGGAGTGTCCACTACCCTCACACACTTGCAGCCTGGAAGAACTAGAGAGGCTCAGTCTCCAAAAAGAAAAAAAAAATCAATGGAGAAGGCATTAAACTAAACCCATTAATGAACAAAAACTTGAGAAGGGTTATGTGTTATTTGGAGATAAAGAAGCCATTTCCTTTTCTGTGGCCAGCTGGGAATAAGGAAATAAAGACATGGAGAGAAGGTGGTAGCAGTTAGGAACCCGAAGGGAAAACTCTATTGACCTGGGCTGGATGGCGAAGAACCTTATAGGGTACAAGTGAGACAACAGTTCCATGGTAAGAACTGGTATGAGCAATGAGATTTGCAGCTCACTTTTGAAACTCTGCTTTTAACTAGTAGGACAAACAAAGCTTCTCCAAACATATATATCTCATCTTATTCTCACAAATTTGTACTGGAACACGTTGTGCATGTTCTGAGTGTTGGAGCTGACACCTCCCAGACAGTGAGTATTTGGGTACAAGTGTTTGAGTGTTTAAGCACAAAAAATTAATTGTACTAGTCTTTGTACAAGCCAGTTTCTGTGAGTTCACACCTACGTTAAACCTTCAAAAATATAGGGAATTGGCCAGCATTAACATTGGTAAAGGAACTCCAAAGGAAGGAAACTCCCTCTAAAAATGCAAGTTAGCACCTTCTCATTAACTTACAGAATTGTCTAGAGTTAAATGAATTACCCAGAGTCATACAGTCAAAGGTAGGACTTGAAACCAGATTCTGCTAGCTGTATTGGTAACTCTCTATCCACTATGCCACAATGTCTATCTAACTTTGTTTTACACACATGCACACATGCATGTATATATGTGTGTGTGCATGTGTGTGTGTGCGCGTGCACATGTGCATACACATGTACTCATGTATATACATGTGTAAAGGATTAATTTTAATACTGAATATTTAACATTATTTCGTTATTCGACATCTCAAGTATTTAGTTTTTCACGAGATGCCATCTTAAAAGTTTCATTCCTTCTATTAAAACATAGTTTTAGGTTTCATTAATTTTAAAAGCCTGAAAAAAAAATGTCTAGTTGTTTGTGACAGGCAAAGCTTCAGATATTATTTCACTTACAGCTAAGTGCAGCGGGCTCTTCGTGGCACTGGAGTCAGATTCCTCAAAGCTGTTGTTGGTTCTTTCCAAAAGCTGCAGAGACAGAAACAGAAGAGTGGCCCGTGAATCTTCCCATTCACATAAAATTCTATTTCCTGGGTGCTAATGTTGGTATAGAGAAGAAAAAGAGCTTCAAAAAATTAAGTAATGCTTCATCTTGTTTGAGGCAGTAGGAGAAATTCAGTGAAATTATCTCCAAAACAGAAACTTTAAAGACATTAGAATGGAAGCTCCTTGAGGGCAGGGATGGTTTCATTTTTTTCCTTTATATCTCAGCATCTAGCACAGTGCCTTTTTTGTGTGTGTAAATAATATTTTATTTTTTCCAATTATGTGTAAAGATAGTTTTCAACATTCATTTTTTATAAGATTTTGAGTTCCAAATTTTTCTCCCTTCCCTTCTCCCTCCCCAAGACAGCAAGCAATTTGATATAGGTCATACATGTGCAATCATGTTAAACATATTTCCACACTAGTCATGTTGTAAAAGAAGAAATAGAACAAGGGAAAAACCACAAAGAAAAAAAAAAACAAAAAGTGAAAATAGTATGCTTCAGTCTGCATTTAGACTCCATAGTTCTTGCTCTGGATGTGGATAGCATTTCAAAGCATGAGCCTTTTGGAATTGTCTTGGATCACTGTACTGCTGAGAAGAGCTAAGTCTATCATAGTTGATCATCACACAATGTCAGTACAGTGCTTTGAACACAGTAGGCACTTAATAAGTACTTGTTGAATCGAGTTTCAACTTATTTACTTTATCAAGGCCCAATATTTCCTGTTCAAAAAAGTCCTTGGCCTTTAAACACACACCCAGACATGTACTTAGCTTTCTATTATGGTGTACAGCAACCTAAAAATTTAAAAAACAATGCTCAATTTAACATTAGACTCTTCATAATGAATTTTGGACAAAGCACAATAATAATAGAATGGTGATTGTCATTTGCATCTTTAGCAGACCATTCAAACTGTGATGTAAAGTTAGCAACTAAAATGACAATTTTAAACTTGATAAGAATGTAACAGAAGTAATCACAATGGCAGCATTGGGACATTGATAAGTCTTTCTTTCTTTTTTGACTGAACGCATTCAAAGAGAATCTGGAACTTTAGCAATCTTGGATTTCTTAGTATAATGATAATACATTTAATTTTAGCTTGGACACAGATCCCTTTGGAAAAACTCTCATAAACATTTGAAATGAGCCTGGGCTGTGACAGAATTCAGGGACAGCTGTTCTTTTTTTTTTTTGAAGCATTATCACCTGCAAGGCTTCCGGGAATTGACCTTGTTGTACCAACCCAAATCCTGTCCTAGCTTGAGCTTTTTAATCAAAGGAAAATGGAATCACTTTATCTACCATCATAAACATGATGAACAAGGACAAGAAGACAATATACTGTTTATAGCAACATTCCAGGCATGTTTCCAGGAGATTTATTTTTTAATAGACTCCTTTCACCCTACAAATAAATACTTTGATCATTCCATGCCAGAGTCAAAGTTCCTTAGAAGCACTTAGTATTTTTTTTTTTGCTGGATTGGGGGTATGAGGGTATGAGTGTGTGTGTGTGTGTGTGTGTGTGTGTGTGTGTGTGTGTGTGTGTGTGTGTGTGTGTGTGTGAGAGAGAGAGAGAGAGAGAGAGGCAGACAGACAGACAGATGGGAGAACCTCAGAATAAAACACAGTCCAATGTACAATGGTTCTTAGAATGGAGTCCTGAAAGAATACAGCCTCTGTAAGTGTTTGTTTTGGAAATTCTCTGGTCTCCCTACAGTTATCAAATGAGGCTGGCAAAGGGTTCATCCACCCTGGGGGCAGGGCAGGATGGAAGAAATAATAGATCCTTCTCAGCTGAGTCAAAGTTGCCCTGGCTTCTCTGCCTTTGCTCCTAAGCTAGAGGCCATTGCATTTCACCACCATGGGATTTCAATACTTTGGCTATAAGAAAAAAGCAAAATACCATTCGCTCTTCATTCAATTTCTTCCAAATGATAAACTTCCCAGATGGGAATTTAAAGAACCAGATGCTATATCTCCTAGGAAAAAGCCAATCGCAAATTCAACCTATTTGTAAGAGGCAGCTGGATAGTACAATTGATAGGGTGTTGGACTTGGAGTCAGGAAGGCCTAAGTTCAAATCTGGCCTCATATCACCGTCTGTGTGACCCAAGCAAATTGCTTTACCCGTTTGCCTCACTTTCTTCATCTGTAAAACGGGGTTAATAATCACACCTGCCTCCCAGAGTTATTGTGAGGGGAAAATTATAAAGTGTTTTGCACTCTCTCTTCTCTCTCTCTCTCTATGTGTGTGTGTGTGTGTGTGTATGTATGTATATATACATAGATATATGTGTATATATAGATACATACATGTTTACATATATATCTGTAACATGAAAATATACCTTCTCTTCCATTATTTTCCCTCCCTTTCAGTTGAACTTGTCTCCATTATTTCTATTAGTTTAAAAATCACAAATTGTAAAGATAACTTGAGAGTATGTTCTTTGCTGCTTGCCACAGGCATCAAAATTACCGATTATAGTTCTAACAAACACTATCCTGAAACTTAATCCATTTTATTTCACTTTGGAAGGTTATATGGAAAATATTAACTGGCCACTACAATACAAATGTGAAGCCAGGTCTCAGGGTAATTAGCAGTTATGCAACCCAAACAGCTGAAAGATTTCCCACTTCACTCTGATGTTTTCACTGTAACCAGCAAACAGTGGGATTGTAGACAGAGGAGGTGACAGGTAGAAAAGGAACTTCCCCAGTATTTAGGTCTTGCTTTGAGTCCATTTTCAGCAATCCTTCCTAATCTTTGAGATGCTCATCCAAGGACAATGATTTGTCTAGAGTTACAAGGCAATTAATGTCAATATTAACTGAAATATAGATTTGACAACTCTCCCTTATTTTGCCAGTTTCTGTTGTGTGTGAACATTTCTATGATAAGTAAGGAGAGGTGATTTTTAAGTGATTTATTTGAAGATGGGATCTATACTTTTAATTTCTTTTCCTTTAAGATTTCAAATTAGGAAGATGGTGGAGTGAAAGCAGTGACTTGCTTGAGCTCTCTCCCAAACCCCTCCAAATACCTGTAAAAAAAATGGCTCTAAACAAATTCTAAAGCAGCAGAACCCACAAAAAGATAGAGTGAAACAAATTTCCAACTCAAGACAACCTGGATGGTTGATCAGAAAGGTATATCGTGCCGGTGGGGAGAGGAGCGCAGTTCGGCGTGGGTGCGCAGGCCACAGCGACCCTGGAGCAGGCCTCAGAGGACTGAATCACAGGCAGCTGTGGTGGTTTCCAGACTTCTCAACCCACGAATGCCAAAGACAACTTAGAAGGTCAGTGGGAAAAGTCTGTGACTACGGGGAGAGAAGGAACTAGGTCTCAGCTGCCTTCTGAGCTTCTGGCCCACAGACTGAGGGGGAATCAAGTGGCTGATCAGAGGGGGATTGCAAGGATCTCTTTGCCAGTGCTGAGGCAGGAATCTCTTGCTTTACCGGTGCTTGGATCTGGGTCACAGTTCTGAGGGATGGTCCTGGGGCAAGGAGGAGTGCTGGTGTGGTGGAGCTTGTTGTGGTGGTGGAGAGGAAACACCTTGCCCCTTATCATACCACTTTGGAAGAACTGAAAATTTACAGGGCTCTAGAAGTATCTCTGAAAACAGCTGTACAAACCCCCAAAGCTTGGGACGGTACATTCTCCACATTGGAAGCAGATTCTTACCTTAACAAAGAGTTTAAAACTCAAGTAATTGGCCAGGATCATGAGTAAGCAGTGAAAAAAGAGTCAGACTATATTATCTTACTTTGGTAACAAAGAATATCAAAACATACAACCAGAAGAACACAACAAAGTAAAAGCTCCTACATCCAAAGCCTCCAAGAAAAATATGAATTGGTCCCAGGCCTTGGAAGAGCTCAAAAGGGATTTTGAGAAGCAAGTAAGAGAAGTAGAGGAAAAATTGGGAAGAGAAATGAGAGTGATGCAAGAAAATCATGAAAAACAAGTCAACAGCTTCCTAAAGGAGACCCCAAAAAATACTGAAGAAAATAACACCTTAAAAAATAGCCTAACCCAAATGGCAAAAGAGGTCCAAAAAGCCAATGAGGAGAAGAATGCCCTAAAAAGCAAAATTGGCCAAATGGAAAAGAAAGTCCAAAAGATTACTGAAGAAAATATTTCCTTAAAAATTAGAATAGAGCAATTGGAAGCTAGTGACTTTATGAGAAATCAAGACACTGTAAAACAAATCCAAAAGAATGAAAAATTAGAAAACAATGTGAAATACCTCATTGGAAAAACAACTGACTTGGAAAATAGACCCAGAAGAGAGAATTTAAAAATTATTGGACTATCTGAAAGCCATGATCAAAAAAAGAGCCTAGACATCATCTTTCAAGAAATAATCAAGGAAAACTGCCCTGATATTTTAGAACCAGAGGGCAAAATAGAAATTGAAAGAATCTACCCATCTCCTCCTGAAAGAGATCCCCAAAGGAAAACTCCTAGGAATATTATAACCAAATTCCAGAGTGCCTAGGTCAAGGAGAAAATATTGCAACCAGCCAAAAAGGAGCAATTCAAATATTGTGGAAACACCATGAGGATAACACAAGATTTAGCAGCTTCTACATTAAGGGACTGCAGGGCATGGAATATATTCTGGAGGGCAAAGGAGATAGGATTACAACCAAGAATCACCTACCCAGCAAAACTGAGTATAGTCCTTCAGGGGAAAAAAATGGTTATTCAGTGAAATAGAGGACTTTCAAACATTCTTGGTGAAAAAACCAGAGCTGAATAGAAAATTTGACTTTCAAATACAAGATTCAAGTGGAACATGAAGAGGTAAACAGGAAAGAGAAATCATAAGAGACTTATTAAGGTTGAACTGTTTACATTCCTGCATGGAAAGATGATGTTTGTAACTCATGAGACCTTTGTCAGTTTTAGGGTAGTTGGAGGGAAAAAATTATGTGTATGTATAGATAGATAGATAGATAG